TATATTTGAAAAAAGTGAAAATAATCTACATAAAATGTCAGCATCTAAAATTTATTTCAAATTTATATGTACAGATTTGTACAGATGCAGAGTAAGGGTAGATCGTCATGAAAAAGTAAGTATGCACATGGAAAGTTTTGACATTCTCAACATGTTTCAACGTATAGATATTTGATCTTCATTTCAATTATATTGATAAAGGAGGTATGAGCTTACAAATATTATGCTTCATTTACATTTTGTAATCCATTGTGTAATTTAAATAAAAGCATATGTAGATTTTGCATGCAAAAGTAACTACACTCCTATTATTTATTATTTAAAGAATATCTCACATTAGACTCATGTGCACCAAATCTGGAGCAAATGCTTAGAACATCATTGGTGAAAATTTGGTAACTTGCCTTATTGAAACTTCAGATATTTATTCTGATTTGCTAGATCAAAAGAGGTCTCTGGGCCTTCAGAAAGATTAGAGATACCTATGCAATTGGGGAGAGATTTAAAAATATTGCCAAACAAGTAGACATCAATTATTCCACTGTCTGGAAGATCATCAATGAGGAGAAAATTTCCAACAACTGCCAACTTGTCCAGGCCAGGCCTGGACAACGTTCCACCAAATTTAGCATGAGAGCAGAATACATGCTGAAAGAACCTAGAATTTCATCATTAATCGCCAAGCAGTTATCGCTATTACTACTATTAAATGCTTGAATTAATCATCAGAAAGCTGCACAAATTAAATCTACATAGAACAAATGTCAGGAGGGAACTTTGTTGTGTACAAAGACTATCAGGGCAAACTGCTCATGAACTTCTAGGCAAAAATCAAGATTTCTGGAACAATGTACTCTGAACAGATGAATCAAAAATGGTTTATTTGGCCATAGTACCAGTACCACGTTTGATGAAAACCAAGGACAGTATTTCACCAGAAGAATCTGATACCAACTGCAAAGCATGATGTTACAGTTTGGGACTACTTAGCTGCATTAGGACTTGGGCAGCACAACATCACAGTTTCTAGCAGGAATTCTCCAGAGGGTGCTTAGGGATAATGTGAAACCATCTGTCAGAAGACTGAAGCTCACCCCAAAGTTGAGCTTGGAACATGACAATGACTATAAATATCACAGAAAAATCAGCCAAAGATTGGTTAAAAAATATAAAAGGAAGGTTCTGGAATGGCCAAGTCAAAGCGTGGATCGAAATCCCATTGAGACACTGTGGATGGATTTAAACTGGGCTGCGCATGTAAAAATTCCTCAAATATTGCACAACTGGAAAAAAAAATCTGAATGAAGGAATGGGAAAGATTTCTTCCTGGTCAATATCAGAGATTGGTAGACAATTATAAAAAAATATGTATGGCTGTTTTTACCAGTTATTAGAATGAAAGATTTACTTCCTTTTCCCACAGAAGGAAGTAGCACAACAAAATTTGCGCAATTTATGGTACATTGCAGTGTCCATTGAAATTGAATTAGGTGAAAGATATGTTTTATTATGTACATTAAAAAGGTATATCTATTTTCTTTGTATATTTTATTTTCTCTATGTAAAATGTTGCAGCTGTAACATAAGTTGTCTGGGAGATTTTTTAATTATTAATTGTTAATTTTTTGTTAATAAACAACTACAAAATCAATTTTTCATATTTTTGTTCAGTGATATCACCTTTATCTTTATATACCGTTTGAATGAAGATAAAATGTTATGTGCACATATATTAAAAAAGACTTTAACATGGTAAAAAAGTACTTTTTTGCACTACTATAGAGTCCAGAGGTGGGTTGCGACCAGTTAGTTCTGGTTCAGACAAACTGGTAGTGGAAATGGTGACTGGGTTGCAAAACTGGTAAGGATGGAAGGGTCATGATGCCCCCGAACTGGTTCCCCGGTCTCCGCGGCATGCCTTTTTGGAATTTTTTAATGTTCTGCGCATCCACAGACCCATTTAGGGGCTACTGCGCACACACACAGTGCATGTCATGTGCACATGCACACCAAACCAGCAGTAATGCCGGCAGCAACCCACACCTGACAGAGACCACAGATTTTGCACTTCTGAACTTGAAATATATAGACATATTGATTTTACTGTCTACGTGGCTGGAAACGGAGATTCAAGGCATAGGCAAACAATGTTATTTAAACTTTACATAAGTAATTTATAACATTTGAAACAAAGAAGTCCTCTTAAGAATAGACAAACGTATTTGCCCAGTTTTAGATCCTACAATTATTAATTAAAAATGCAATGCAATGTACCATAAATTGCACAAATTTTGTTGTGGGTCTATTGACATCAAGTAAAAAAGTTGTGATTTTAATTTTCACCTTTAGTTGTAGTGCCTTTTCTAAGTTTTCAATCTTTCCTTCAGCTATTTTGAGCTTCCTTAGTTCTTCTGACTCTTTCAAAAAGCTCTTTGGGGACAGAGACCTTGAACGTTTCACAGGTGGTTTCTGGAGAATAAAACAAGGACATGGTTGAAGTGGTTGGAACGCTGGATTATGAAAGACATGCAAAATTAAAGAACAAGTAATTTTGAATACTAATAATGAATTATAAAAAAAATCCTGCATGGTATACCAGAGAAATAACAAGCAGAATTACCACAGCGCTACCACTAAAGGTTTCTCTGTGACTCGTTAATGAGAATATTCATTTACATTTACATTGTTTCTTTCAGAATAATGATGTCCCATTAGGGAAGACTAAAGGGTTATAGTCTCAGAAATGCAAGAAACCTCATTACAAAGGAGGGGATAGAGGCTGATCTAATTGCTCTATAAGGGTCCAAGGTTACACTTGATAGGACAACCAGAAACAAGAGGGAAAGAGTTTTTTCCCTCTGAAATAGTTTAACACACTGTGAAGTTGAAGGAACAATATGCTTGAGGAATATAAATAAAACAGACAGTAGATCTTATACCATAATGACCATATGGTCATTAAATATAATATGCCTAACTAGAGACAAGAATATGTGTTCATATTATGTGCAGCTTCATATAGCAATCTGGAGAAAGGATGTGTGAAACTAGCACTTAAACTGGGCAACCTTCTTGCTTGTACTATGTCAAATGTTTTTTATGTAAAACAAATAAAATATACAGATTAGTTTTACTGAATTTCAGTAACTGTGATTAGCATATGGAGCAATATTTTAATCATAATACTAATCTTAATGTTTTAACAATTTAGTAACTTAACTGTGCAAAATATGAAATGACATTTTGTCCATGGATTTTTTTTAGTTAATAATAAAAAAAGAATTTACATTCTTCCAAAAGTCATTGAAGTTATTCTTTTGAATAAAAGAAAAGGGGCTGGGAGAGTTTAGCTTTTAATTTTGAATAGAAAAAAGGCAGAAAGTACAGACTTTTGCCCATGACAGAGATTTAGTTTAAAAATATTTTTTTTGTTGAAACATTATTTCATGAGTACAATTTAAAGAAAAGAGGCTAATTTATTTTATCTATTAAAATAAATCACATTATGAGTCACAGGAATAAGAATTCCAAATATATATTTTAAAAACAAAGTAAATCTGCCATATCACACCTGGATGTCACATTTGTGTCTTTGAGGAAAGAAAACAGACACAATATAGGCAGATTTGTGCAACGAAGCCCCCTCCAAATATGTTGGACACATAAATCCTAAGCACCATGGAACATAAATGAACATATTTAGCAGGCAATAGAGTGAGGAATACTTATATAGATATGGTATTAGATATAATTCCCAGTAAACATATTCTGATAATGATGTGCAAGTTAAGAATCTAGAAGTGACGATTGGAATGTTTGATCAGAAAAAGATTGAGATTGGATTTGAGTAAGAGGAGATGTTATTCTTGTCAGGCTACAAAAATGATCTGGAAAAAGATGATATATATTGGATAGACAAATGAATCAGCTGATGTTTTCATAATTAAAAGGAGCATAGACATAACAGTTTATGACAAAAATCCTGAGAGATGGGATGAAAAAACTGTCTAGGAAAGATAAGAGAGGGTGTGGCCCACTTCTGCATAATGGGCAGAGAAAGAGACTCAAAAAAGGACTTTCCCCAACTTTTTCAGGCTGTTAAGGAGATTTGAGTTTTCAAGATTATAATCTTGA